CAACCAACAGAAATATTTGTACTATGGTCGATTGTTTGTCATCGACCAGCTTTGTAGTTTCGCACATGGGCAGAAAACTATCAACTGATTTTTCCATTTTTGATTAGTGTTGTTGGTTAAATCTTTTACTGATATCATTACAAAGCTAAATAAGCAGTTCACAATGTTAATTACTCTATTTATTTATATATTAGATTTGAAGCAAATTAATTCGCTTCCATAGTTCGATGGACCTGTGTATAATTTTGAACTCCTGAACGCATCACGCAATTCAGTTGGAATAAACAGATCGTAATCCATATCGGGATGCTGTAACGTAACATACAACACGGGATTGGTGGTCATATATTTGTGGACACATAATGAGAATTTTGGTCGTGCCTGAGTGTTAATATTTTGCAGAAAATTAGTTCAGATATGGTACTAACTGAAAAAATGACCGCTACAGTGTCATTTTTTCAGTTAGCGGTTTTCATTTACTATATTTTTCACAATTGTAGACCTCACGGTTTACTGAGAATGAGTGATAATCCTCATCACGTTTAGGCTCTTGTACTCTGTGGAATATATGTCTCAGTACGTCTCAGTAGGTACTCTAGTCGCTTCACAGAAAGTCACAAATGCTACTGAGTGTAGGCAGATTTAAGAGATCGGTTTTTACGCCCTTCATGAAACTGACATAAGATATTGAGCTTCTAAGGGTAGATGGTGGACCCACAGTGTTGCTGCAATCTTGTTGAAGCATGACACCATGCCTGACAGTTCGTGTGTTTTGAGCATTACAGTTCTACTGCTTAAAGACATATTTTATTACTTGTATTATATTACGCTTAAAATTTTATCATTTAGCTTAGCTTAGCATCAGTGTATTGCACCAGTGTCTAATTCATAAATAAAGTTATGTGCGAGGTTTTCCTTTGTTCGTTGTTAATAGGTAGTCACTGAACCTGTAGGGACAGAAACCGATTCTAGTAGGAACAGAAAGTGATTGTCACGAATAAACACTGTCTATTGTAATGATATTAAAGACTGATAATAACAGGAATAGAAGTCGACTGTAACACTATCAGAAACTGATTGTAATACTAATGTAAACTGATTGTAATACAAATGTAAACTGATTGCATCACGGGTGATTAATTATAAAATGAGTAAAAGCTGACTGTAACAAGAACGGTTTTTTGTGATTGTAACACGAATTGTAACTTCAACTGTTACATGGATACAAACTGACTGAAACACGACTAGAAATTGAGAAGGTTATTATATTCAATGTGTGGAACACGTTTTCGATGTAAGTATATTCCGGACATACACCTCTCTGTTCTTTTAACTTCTTCTTTGGTTAAATCCAGTTTCTGTGTCATTTACAGTGAGCGCAAACCACCGGAAGTGACGTCACTTTATTATGAGAAATATATTCGTCATATCACATCAGCAACGGATAACGGGTTGGTTTCATCACGTCCTCAAGACAATCAGCGATAGATCAGTGGAGGCGGAACAGATATTCTGCTCATTTGTCTCCTGTAGTGCAATGTTTCCTTTTTTCAACGCCATTAAGATACACAGTCGCAAATATGATCCAGCGTTATTTCAGTGACTTGACTCCTCGTCACAGGACTGTCTGCCGACTGTATCTTTTTCCTAAACATCGTACTTGCTTTGGGTTGTCTGAGTGAGGGAGTGAGTTCGTTTGCTGACAGTCCAAGTAAACTTAGGCTCAGTATTATTCGTTACACTGCTATACTGAGTCTAACAAAACCTTGTGGAAGGTCGCGTCAGGTAACCTTTGAGCGACCTATGACCGTCCAATCAAACGCGAGACGACCAAACGGATTTAACCAATCAGACAACGGCTACTATTTAGGGTTCGGCGGGACTTACAAAATGGATTTTCTCTTCCCGGTCACCAACACTGATCTCACAACAAATGAAAACCCGCATAAAATACAGATATATGACCTGCAGAATATACGCTTTTGGGTTTCTGATGACATGGTTATCATTAGCTAATATTTCCGCAAGCTGACACCCTTGAATACTGACAAAACGCTATTTTCTGCGACTGTTTACTCACTGTTGTCACAGTGTTGTGGCGTGCTCTTGTGCATCACTCGGAAGCGATCGTACGGGAAATAGCATTCGGAATCGTTCGGCTACAAACTTTTTCGAGGTAAAAGTTCAAAAGATATGTGCGAATGTCAACTTTCGCAATTTGGTAAGCTGTGTTCTGATTGGTCAATTGAAAAGGTTACCTGACGCGACCTTCCATAAGGTTTTGTTAGACTCAGTATAGCAGTGTAACGAATAGTACTGAGCCTAAGTTTACTTAGACTGTTTGCTGATTAATTGTTTTTATTAACAGTTCTTATTTCTTTCCACTGGTAATGTCAACAAACATAAACGAATAATATTTATGAATACTAACGTAAGATTCACATGCTTAGGGACATTTTGAAAATGTATATTATGAAAATATACATTATATATTTATATATATTATGAAATATACATTTTGAAATTATATATTACATTTTCAATATGTTCCAAAGCATATGAAGCTTACGTTGTTATTCATAAATGTTGCTCATTAACGGTTGTTGACAATGACAATGACTGACGTGCAGGAATTAAATGTCGGTTATCATTTCAAGGAGTTTATAGTGGCTTTGGAGCCCTAAATGAACAATAAGTCGTCGATGTTTACCATAGTGGATAAATCTACTTATGTTCACAGTGTGTTTATAAGCTGTCACGTTCGCTGCGTGGTGTTGATTGACAGTTTCCTTTACATGAAACATTCACTGTGACCTGTGAACCCTGAACTGACCACAGGATAACCTGGTCGCCGGTTGTCACAGAGCATCGTGTTTATATGACTACAATAGGAAGCCGTCATCTCAAGTACTTCTGCTGTTTAAGCGTGGCCTACACTTATCATGGTGGGACAGGGATTACAGTGTCCTCCATTCCCCGTGTTTGCTACGTGTTGATTTACGGCTTAAAAACGAAGGTTCATTAATAATCAGTACTTGAAAGGATTTGGTATAAAACCAACAAGCAACACCGAAAATGTAATTTACAAATCAAACTACATGCTAATTATAAAGGTATATATAAATGTTGTTGTTTTTTAAACGCAATATTCCAGTTACAATACGGCGTTCGGTAATTAATCGAGTGTGGACCAGACAATCCAGTGATTGACATCATGAGCATCTTCGCAGTTGGGATACGATGACACGTGTCAGCCAAAACACCGACCCTGATCACATGATCCCGTTAGTTGTTTCTTACGAGAAGCGTGGGTTGCTGAAGATTAACCTCAATGTTGAAGATAAGTGCTAATGTCCACCTGAGACGTACACGCATCAGGGTCAGACCATTTCAATTTTCAGAATTTAGTACGTTTTATTTCAAGTCGGGACCAGACAGACGCTCATCCATCCCGTTTGTCGCCTTTTTCGACAAGAATGGGTTTTAACCAAGAGATTCAGATTGGTAGACATGAAAAACAAATCCAGTTTCAAGTCTTAAGTAGTTAAGTAGGTAGGACGAATTAATAAAAGAAAGAAAGAACGAGAAAGTTTGTTTGATGTTTAACGCTGCACTCAGTAATATCCAAGCTATAGTCGAGCGTGGACCAGGCATAGTGATGAATAGCATGAGCATCGATCTACACAACTGGGATACGATGACATACGATCCTGACAACCCGCTCCCGTTAGCTGCCTCTTACGACCAGCATGGGTTGCTGAAGACACATTCTAACACGGATCTGCACAGATACACGTTCAACCGGTTCAATTTATCGTATTTAAAAACGTATCTATTCATATTGACAGCGACTGTACATGAGTTCTATAGGCAGTTTGTATGCACCTTTAAATATGTAACGTATCAAGTATCATGATTTTGCACGTTTTTGCATATTTTACAGACGCTTCACGTCATCCTGTCAACCTTCCTTCGAGAGCTCACTCGGTTACAATTGCAACGCTATCTGGAGCAAATGACTTGTCCTGATTGCTGCTTAAACTGCATTCGGAAATCATTGTTGGTTTGTTATTTCACGCCGCACTCAGCAATATTCCAGCTATATGGCGGCGGTCTGTAAATAATCGAGTCTGGACCAGACACTCAAGTGATCAACAGCATGAGGGAGCATCATTCTTCGCAATTTGGACATGATGACATGTCACAGACATGTGTCAACCAAGTCAGCGAGCCTGACCAACCGATCCCGTTAGTCGCCTTTTACGACAAGCATGTGTTACTGCAGACCCATTCTAACCCGGATCTTCACGGATGGGCATAGAAGGGAGATAACTCGTGATGGCGGTATCCAGCCTTCTGTGTGAATGTGGCCGAGGGAAGGGAAGGGGACTCGGGAAAGGGAGGAAACCGGACTATTTGTAGTCAATTAACTTCCTGCACAAAGCCGGGTTTTAACGGTAGATGTTGTCGCCTTCCAGTTTTTCTAAGGACTTTTCAATTGATAACAGGGGTAGATTTGAATATCTTTACTTAGTGAAATCAATGTAATATCACAATCTTTAAGCCTGACACCCACGGGTCTCATTCCAAACTGTCTTGTTTGACGTTAGTTGTCAGTCCAGAAGTTACACTTTCTGATCTGGCCGACATCCGCTCACCTGTGGATATTGACATAGCAACACTTCCCTGTTTAAGGTGCTGTCGCGGAGAGTGTGCTCAGCTTAGCTGCGTGAGTGATTGTAAATTCGCCTTAACTCGCACACAGTTTGGCTACATGAAGTGAAATTCTATTGGGATTACAAGTTGTGTCCAGATGCAAAGTCACGAAATTTTAAATGTTCACTCAGACAATAGCTTCATTCAAAACATTATGAGTGTAGTTTGATATACGTGGGGCGAAGAGTGTCTTTGTTCCTGGTGCATCATTTGTTACTGTCGCCCAGATATCGTGACCCCAGTTTCTGATCCTCACAAACATGCAGTTACACCACACAGGCTGTCAGACGTAACAGTCACCTGTCCCACGTCAAGGGGAGGATATGCCACGTGACAATTCTTGCAAGGAACCTGGCCTCGCTTTTTACTTACACTCCGGAATCCACGAGGTAAGTTATTATCTGATTTTCGAGTAGCTTCATTGTGCATGTTGAGCGTTAAATAATCAATTCATTATTGAAGGTGAGGTGAAATTGGGTTTAACGTCGTGCTTGAGAATATTCCGCTCATTTGACGACGTGCATGCGTTTGTATGTGTATGTGCGGCTGCTTGTACTAGCCCAGACTTAAGCTGGTTTTATAGTGCTAGCCCACTGAGATACCATGCCGCAGTGAAGCATGAATACCCCACTCAGACACATGTAGCATTACGTCTAGACATATATTTCACAACCCGTGAAGGTCCGGGTTAGAATATTGGCCTTCAGTAACCCATGCTTGTCGTAAGAGGCGACTAATGGGATCGGGTGATCAGGCTCGCTGATATGGTTGCAGGGTTCGATTTAAGAGATGTTAGCCTACTTGCACCAGGTGCAACCTGAGATAAAAACCTAATTGCACCAGCCAAATTCCAGTTGCACTGCTTTTATGGTAATATGTAATGAATGGAATATGCTATTGAATTATTTAGATGTTTTAGTCAGAAGTTTACCCACAAAAAAAATGACCTGCACCTGGTGCAAGTTAGACTAATACCTACGTTGCACTTTGTAATATTGGTTAGCATCAGTGCAAGTAACAAAGCACTAAATCGAGCCCTGGGTTGACACATGTCATCGGTTCCCAATTGCGCAGATCGATGCTCATGTTGTTGATCACTTGATTGTGTGGTCCAGACTCGATTATTTACAGACCGCCGCCATATAGCTGGAGTAGGGGAGACCGGGGTCAATTGTAACACTTTTTACTTAACGTCTTGTAATTCGATACTAGTCGACCGCTCACAAAGTTAATCGGTACTAACTAGTACAATGGCTTCTTGGCTTTAAACCTCAGTGTCATTTAAAGTTCACTATCATGTCGTTACAAAGTTATTACGTACAAAATGCAATGACTGCAAGTGTTACAATTGACCCCAGCACAGGGCAATTGTAACAGGCGGATGGGGCAATTGTAACAAAGAAGGTTCAAATGTAACAATCTGTTTATTTTCCAAATATAATCAAAATCAAATGTGGAAAGATGTTATCTTGATCAATTGAGGTGGAAATGGATTAACATTAAACCTTTATCACCATCGACATTTAAAATGTTTTTGGTTTAAAATTCTTGTATTGGTATGCCCAAAATATAATACAAAGACTGACACCAAAATGTGTCACCCGAGGGCTGATACTATCAACATAACACTGATCACGTTCTACTATGATAAAACTAGTAAAGAACTAACATAAAACCTTCATCCTAATTTGCTTCATTATACTAACACAAGGGAAAATTACATGGGGGCAATTGTAACACAGTGTTACAATTGCCCCCGATGGTAGTAGCCATGTTTCATGCCACGTCACACGCTAACAACTTTGGGCTTCTCAAATATTTCTACTTCAAAGTATGTCGTAATACCTCAATTTTACACTTGTTAATTAGTTTCATACCAAGCAACTTTTACTGCATTAAGAACCTTTTATTACGTTTTGTGAAAAATTTACTTTCCCATGTGAAAACGATTCTTCGTTAACTGTATCTCGCCATGAGCGAGCAGCTGAAAAACGCCTGGATGTGTACCGTAGGAAAGTAAAGGGAAATAACTCTACTCACCTACATTATGCTTGAGCGAAAACTTTTAGAATAATCGCCCTTGTTACAATTGCCCCGTGTTATAATTGACCCCGGTCTCCCCTATTGCCTGAGTGCGGCGTAGAACTAAACTCACTCACTCACTAACATATATTTCACGCGTCAGTGCATGGTACTGTCCCTCACATAAACATCAGCACCTGTCCATCTGTATCTGATGAAGTAATAGAGAATATATTGTCATAGCAACCGATTTAGGACAGCCATCGTCCAAATATTTCCAAAGGCCAAAAAGTATTTTGCCAAAAGATGTATGACTCAATTGCAATCATTTATATGTCGCTAATTTCCATGCTTGTCGTAAGGGGCGACTAACGGGATCGGGTGGTCAGGCTCGCTGTCTTGGTTGACGCATGACCAGTACACCTTATTCACGCGACGCCATGTTGAAACTGAGAGCGAGGCTGGGAAGATGTTCATGGTGTTGATTACTCGATTGTCTGATCCAGACTCGATTATTTACAGACATTATAACTGGAATACTGCTGAGTGTGGCATTAAACAACCAAACCAATCTTAATCCTTGTCAGCCAACCCCGCACCACTCTGTCACATCTACTAATTACTGTGTATGACATTTCTAACCTTAATTGGTCATCCCGTTGATCGTGTCTGCCATCAGTTGGTCCAAGGCTAAGCTATTGTTTCTTTATCTGTCCATCGTTGTGTCTTCTACTGTACGTATTGTTTATACATGTTTGTTCTATGTGGGGACGATCGCGAGCAGGATAATGCGGAATTATCCTAGATTGTGCTTAGTTATCCTAGCTTGAGCCATAGAATTATCCATGATTACAGAAATCAACCATGCCATCTTCGGATACATTTGTTTACATATTATAGCTCTTGTTTCTGTCCTCCTGTACTCTTACAGCTGTTGATATGACGACAATTAAACTTATATATAACATTACTCAAGTTGTACGTCAAGAGGGATGAAGTTGCTTATCCAGCCGTGAATGTTATATATGTCGTGCCCAATCCCGGATTTGCTCATTCTGCTGGTTTTTATGCAACCGGTTTGTCCCATTGCCGGGAACTGGGCAATTCATGATTCAGTTTGCACAATCCCAGGAAATGGGCATTGAATAAGATATAATTCAAATGAGAGACATCATGATGAATGTTTATTCTGACTAAACAGTATCTTGATACAATGTAACACATCCAAACATTTAGGTAGTTAAAAGTTCAAATATATATTTTTTTTAAAACTGAAATTAATGGTTATCCTAACAAAACAGTATCCTTTTTTTATTATTTATTTTTTATTCCATTTCAAGTTGCATGTACAGACAGAAGAGTGTTGGCAGTTACATCATCAAGTTAGTTCAAAATTGTATACACATATGTGGGTGTACATATATAGATAAATAGGAGCTAGGTGAAAATGTTATAACTGTAGTAGACATAATGGTTTGAGTAAGTCAACTTGCATGCGTGCTAATTTAAAAAGGCATCAGGGGTGGTGGGTTAGCCTAGTGGTTAAAGCGTTGGCTCGTCACGCCGAAGACCCGGGTTCGAATCCCCACATGGGTGCAATGTGTAAAGCCCATTTCTGGTGTCCCCCGCCGTGATGTTGCTGAAATATTGCTAAAAGCGGCGTAGGACCAAACTCAGTCAGTAAAATGGCATCACTTAAAAGAAAACATTATCTTTATACATTTGGACATATCAAAACATTTAGGTAATTATAAGATCAAACCTTCAACTGAAATTAAAACAACTACTTATTTTTACACTTTATATTTCGATGATGGCAACGGCTAGAGCATTTATTTCCATATTTGTAGCACATGCAACGTGTGCTGCTACGTTGCCCAGTACCTGCTACATTACAGGCCAGGGCCAACACTGTCCAATCTTGCAGCTGCTCTCACTGAAATTTCCTCACTTCGTTTCACATCATCCATTTTCAGAAATTTTTGCATGCACCGCTCAAATTGATTTCGACAAAATGTCCCACACAGTTGACCGTGTGTTGTGGCGATAGTGTGTTGTTAACAATGCTCACTTAGCTGGCCAGTCAAATGGAGCAAGCCACCGGCCATCCACGGAGATTGGACAACACTCTTGCTCCAAGTCTGGGAAATGGGCAATTCTAGGAATAGGGCACGACATATATATTATCAGCTTATGGGGTCCATATTTCTCAGTTCCTTTCATGCTTTAGTACTTTTATTTGTATTTTACGAAAAGACATTTTATCCTTACAAATTACAACAATCAAAGTTTCTAGTTTTTTGTCCCCATACGTGTGACTGTAGGCATTCAAGGGAAATTACCAAAACACGATGCCATCCTATACTATCAGTTACTGGGAGTTTCAATGCATCCGAATTCTGTGGCACTTGCCGAAATGATTTCATTTGATTTTGTGATTTGCGGGTACTACCGGAAGGTGCAAATACTACGTGTCATTCGCGTTATTTGAAATCAGATTAGAGGCGGATTATTCTCTGGCGTTCGTTGACTTTATGAGACTGCAGAATGTAGATAGGCCTACAGTCGAAATGGTTCGGGCAAAAGTAGTTGAACTTGTTACACACCGAATGAGACATTCAGGTTGTCATACCGTGTGTTGGTGAAAATGAAAATATGTTTACAATGTGTTTCACAGGCGCTATGCCCGACTGCAAGGCTATGCCCCACTGCAACGAACCTACCAGCATCGACCAAAGTGGCGAAACCTACTGCGGCGTAGGGAGCTTCAGGCCACGGATTCTGCAGCCATGCAAGCATATCCTGTCGTTCTCTGTGGTGTATGGTTTTGCTGGGCTTATCTCCCAGAGTCTCAATGTCTACATCAACTCTCAGGTCACAGCCCTTGAGAAGCAGTTCCATTTGGACAGTACCACCACCGGCATCATCCTCAGCTGCAATGACATAGGCTTCCTCTGCACGGTCCTTCTCGTCAGCCATTTTGGGAGTAGTCGCCACATACCCAGAATTCTGTCTGCGGCCTGCTTCCTGTTTGGTATTTCCGGTATTCTTGTGAGCCTGTGTCAGTTTGTTGATCCAGTCTACTTACCACAGCTATCAGATGCTGCTGTTGCCAATTCCTCCATGAAGGCGTTCACTGCTCCGCTGTGTCGCCATGGCAACGTGTCTGAGACCGAAGAGTGCGGAACGGATGCGACCCATTCATCAGTGGGTCCCCGATGGGTGGTGTGGATGCTTGGGGCGGGGATGGTGCTTCAAGGGATCGGAAAGTCCCCTCGGACGTCGCTCTCTACAACCTACATCGACAACAACAACCCCATCAAGACAAAAACAGGGCTATATCTAGGTATGTTCCATGTGGAGTATATATTTAATTACTATTCTACGCTGCAGTCGGAACTGTCTAGTTTGTGGTTTGAGGAACGATTGGCCACCACATTCTTGGCATACGATGACATACAATCAGCCACGTCATAGTATATACATAACATCTGTTGTTCAGCAAATATTTCCTTGGAATTCCAGATCTGTACAGCTTGAGGCAACGATGATATGTACAATGACATTTAATTAATGCATTAAAGGAATGAGAATAAATTGAGAAACGTATGTGCATTACCATCCCTCACTCAGGCCATTTTGTTTTCCTTATATATGTATGTACTTACCTAAAGGTGTTTGTTTGTGGTTTTACCTAGGTATATCCACAACAATGATAGTGTTCGGACCCGCGCTTGCCACAGCAATAGGTGGTGCATTCCGGCAGATCCCTGTGGATCTACAAGGTAAGGCATCAGTCAAGTAGATATCTGCCAAACGTTTCGAGAATAGCTAGCCATGTTAGCAAAGGTTAACATATTTAGTAGTTATCAGGAGATGGTACATAGCATGAAGCGTAATTAAATATCCCCTGACCTTATATGACTCAGGTATTTAGAAAAGAATAAAACTTACTCGTCACACTGTCACCTATTTCCAGAGACCGCTATGACCCCAACACATCCAAAATGGATAGGTGCTTGGTGGATAGGCTTCTTGCTGTTTGGGTGTCTGGGAGTCATTATTGGATTTCCTCTAATGTTGTTCCCTAAAAGTCTGCAGCAACCGTCTAGCCCCGCCACTGCCAAGGACGCAAACAATCCCGTCATCCACAGCGTCAAAGGTATGCCATAGTTGCATATTGACTATTTTTAAGCATTATGTACATACATTGTAAGACTGAATAGCGACGTCTTGTCTATAAAGAAAAGCTGTATATATTTAACGTTCAAACATTTATACTTCAACAAAAACATCTTTGGTTAAGACGACATTGATTGAATTAGTTAACGCCGCTTTCGGCAGTGCTCCGGTGGTTAGTTCCCATGAAGTAGAATTCTAAAAACACAGGAGTGAGCTTGTGGTTTGGGATTACCTTCAAGACCTGGTGATCTCGAACAAGTTCAGAATACTGCACCCAGTGACATAATCCTTCATAACAACACCGGCACAACATCAAGGAGATAATGCTGTAATAACAAAATTCTACTTCACGGGAATACCACGTTCCAGTTATATCACAGCGTGTCAGCTTAATTTGAAAAGCCCCAAGTGGTGTTCAGACGTTACCACTTTCAATGGGTATTGTGCTGACGAGATTTGAACCCACGATCATAGGTGTTTTGCCTTTCTAATGGACGACAGGTCATCCCTGCCTCTCTATGCGATAGTACTTTAACATAGGATTACTGTGATCCCAGGGCTATAGCGGCTTTGCCCTATTATTGAAGAGCTATGCACGTTAGTCGGTTTAACAGTGGAGGAAATATTGACATTAGCGTTGTTTTCTTCACCCCTATGACCAATGTGAAGATCTGCCCCGGTCCGTGTTGCGGGTTTTGCGGAGGCCGGTGTACACGTTGTGCGTCACTGGGCTGATGTTCCTGGTATTTGTGGTGGCTGGAACGGAGTCCTTCAGCTCTAAATACGTGGAGAAACAGTTCATGGTGCCGGGATACAAGACCAACATCATACTGGGTAGGACGATATCATAATTGGTAGGTCAACATGATACTTAGTAGGTCAACTTGACACTATGTGGCAGATGCCTTAGTGTGTAGGCCAACATCATACTGAGTGGGAGGAATCATAGGTTTGTCAACGTCATACTGGGTGTTGTGATTTCATACTGGGTAGGTCAACATCATACTGGGTAGTGGGTAGGTCAACATCATACTTGGTAGGTCAACATGCTACTTTGTAGGTCAGCTTCATACTGTGTGGCAGATGTCATAGTGGGTAGGCCAACATCATCATGGCAAGGTCAACATCATACTGATTGGGAGGATATCATAATGGGTAGGCCAACATCATCATGGCAAGGTCAACATCATACTGATTGGGAGGATATCATAGTGGGTATGTCAACATTAAAATGAATGGGTCGATGACTCAATGTGTTTGTAGGTTGGTCCACACCATCGGGTATGCCACCATCATGCCGGGAAACACTGGTAGGCTGTGCCACACTCGCTTCCCGTTAAATATCGTCTTCATATCCCTAGGTGTACAAAAGTTGGTGGCAGTGACAATAGGAACGTTTGGAGGAGGATTAATAACATCGCGACTCAAGCTGTCTAGGCTTGGATGCAGCAGAATGGTGCTTATAGCGGTTTGTCTTTCGTGTTTCTTCAACTGCCTGGACTTCTTCCTTGGATGTGATACTCCTGACATACGTGGCTTCAGTTTTGGTGAAGGGTGAGTGTCTGGGGTTACTGTCCGTCCTGGCATAGGTGGCTTCAGTTCTGGTGAAGGGTGATCGTTTCAGTTCTGGTGATGGATGAGTGTCTGGAATTAATGTCCTCACATGTGTGGCTGAACTGTCCGAGAAGGGTGAGTGTCTGGGGTTTCTGTCCTGGCATAGGTGGCTTCAGTTGTGGTGAAGGGTGAGTGTCTGTGTCTAATGTCCTCACATACGTGGCTTCAGTCCTGGTGATGGATGAGTGTCTGGAACTAATGTCCTCACAAGTGTGGCTGAACTGTCCGAGAAGGGTGAGTGTCCGGGGTTTCTGTCCTGGCATAGGTGGCTTCAGTTCTGGTGAAGGGTGAGTGTCTGTGTCTAATGTCCTCACATACGTGGCTTCAGTCCTGGTGATGGATGAGTGTCTGGAACTAATGTTCTCACAAGTGTGGCTGAACTGTCCGAGAAGAGTGAGTGTATGGGGTTAACCTCAGTTTCCGAGCAGGGTAAGGTTCTCGTGTTACTGTCCTCACATATATGTCTTCAGTTCATGGTGATCTCGGGTATGTGGTCTTGAGCAACCCATGTTTGTTGAAAAAGGAGGCTAATGGGATCGGATGATCAGGATCACTTGCCTTATGAAGTCAGTCATTAGATTATATGGTCCAGATTCAAGTAGGGTAAGTGTTTCATGTTACTGTTCTCTTTCTTATGATGTTATTGCTACTGCTTAGGGACGTTACTCGTGACGACGGCATCAACGTATGCACCTGCGACTTGACTAACTACTTCCCAGTGTGTGGAGACAACATCACCTACTTCTCTCCCTGCTTTGCCGGTTGTACCAACCAGTCCAAGTCGGTGAGACATTAGTTGTGTTCTGTTTGTTGGAGTCATTACTTCTCTCTGACTCCCTCTCTCTCTCTCTCTCCCCTCTCTCTCTCTCTGACTCTCTCTCTCTCTCTCTCTGACTCTCTCTCTCTCTGACCCTCCCTCTCTCTCTCTCTCTCTCTCTCTCATCCTACATAGTATACCAAAGAAAACATTTGGAATGTGAGTTATTCCATTTAAGTTACTCAGACTGGGATCATCTTATTGTTGTATTCGAAGTCGGGGTTCAATTATGATCGCTGTTTATGATTTCAGCGGTGTACCATGATATCTCGGATTATACGTACTGAAATCCAATCTGACTTCAGTTAGTTTGGACTTTCTTCCGTCAGTGAGTCGAAAGCTATAGTATGGTTGTTCATTTAACCTCTAATACACCCACTCCGTTGTAGACAAGTACATTTTCGATAAATGAGATCTCACGTTTATTGAAGTTAAACTGCAAACCTAACCATGGTCATAATTTGACTTCCTCTGTTCCAGCTGTATGGAGGTTGTAGCAAAGTGACCAGCGGTCAGACGACAGCTGGGATGTGCCCGACCGACTGCCCCTACCTCTACTACTACATCGCCGTCGACATGGTGATGAGATTGTGCGGCACCATGTCTATCATGCCGATGTATATGCTGCAGATCAGGTAATCTACAGCCATGATGATTTATATGCACCAAGCGTTTACGGATTAATTCTTCTTACATCATCACCAGTGAGTCATCTCAAGAAGACTACCAGTAGAAGTGTCAGTAAGAGGTTATAGGAAGTTACAGCATAGCAAGCATGATAATTCGTTCTGTAGCGATTGCTGGCCAAACACCCATATGGCCAATGCTGGATGAGGAACCAGGAGAGTTCATGGACACTGTTCTGTTATTATATGTTGAACCTTTGCTATCTACGGCTGATTAAGTATGTAATCATGCAATATTTGTTCTTCAGGAGTGTAGATGAGCGGGACAAAGCTATGGCGGTCGGTCTTCTTTCCTTCCTGGCGTCTCTCTTAGGTTGGTGACAAACATACAAGTTCTAGCTGCAGATAGACCCGTGAAGATCCGGGTCGGAATTGATCTTCAGCAACACATGCTTGTCGTAAGAGGCGGTTAACAGGATCGGGTGGTCAGGCCCACTGACTTGGTGGACACATGTCATCGTGTCCCAACTACGTAGATCGATGCTCATGCTGTTGATTGTCTGGTCTAAGCTCGAATATTTAAAGACCGACGCCATTTGGCTGGAATATTGCTGAGTGTGGCGTGAAACAACAAACAAACAAAACATCCAGACAGTCACGTACATTGTTTTAAAAACAGCTGAATATTGCACTGGATAAAGGGTATCCTTTGAATTCGTCTTAGATCCAGAGTGGTGCAAAGGTGCGCAGTCATGGTATAATCATAGTGGGCGATGAAATGTATAGTATAATAATGTAGCTGTATTTTTCACTTTCTATTTTCGGTATAGCCCAACTGTTTTAAAAAAGCTTCTGCGACGCCATTTTGAAATCATGCATTCATTACACCATTTCTAGATTTTGTGTGTATGTATGTGTTGCAGGGTTCCTGCCTGCTCCCATAATCGCTGGCTATGTGATCGATAGCACGTGTCTCATCTGGGATGTCACGTGTGGCGTGAAGGGCTCATGTGCCCAGTATGACCTGACATTACTGAGATTTAGGCTGAAGGCTCTGGAGGTCAGCGGCAAGGTCATGTCCGTCACCTTCTTCCTCATCACCCTGCTTGTACTGAGACGCGAGGAGAGGATTGTTGGAAAACGTGGAAAAAAGGAAGAGAAATCTCAGAACTCCAGCAACACGCTTCAAGCAACCAAACTTTGAAATAGGATGTGTACATTAACTAGCTGTTATATCTGTACACACTAGGATACGACTGACTGGGATGGAAAAGTTACACATCATAATTTCACCATGTTTAATGCACATGCGGTTCATGGATCTGCACCATCCATGGATCATTTCATATGCTGTGTGCCATAAGACTCATAGTCCTCACCAGGACGGTTTCCTGAAAGAAAACTCTCAGTTGTTTGCTTGTATGTATCGATACAAAAACTGTTGAGCTAATTCTAAAGGGTACTATAGTCTGTTTGCAGTGAAAACGTACCGATGAATTTCACTCTATACAAAAAAGTAAATCGATTAAAGCGAAATTAAGATTGCGAATCCTCATAATTTTACCTTGCCAATTGAACATTCAAATCTCAGAATTTTATTCAACTTAGGATAAAAGTTGTTTAACAAACTATCATAGTTTCAAATCGCTATTATTGGTTTGTATTACACGGGGGGGTGCACATTAAATGAAACATCAAGAACATGTAGGGCTGGTCTAACTTAACGCTCATCACGTACCGCACGTGCATTTGTATCACTGTTCCATCTACTGCACTTACCCCCTTGTAATACAAACCAATAATAGCGATTTGAAACTATGATCGTTTGTTAAACAACTTCTATCCTAAGTTGAATAAAATTCTGAGATTTAAATGTTCATTTGGCAAGGTAAAATTATGAGGATTCGCAATCTTAATTTCATTTAATTTGAAATACTTTTTTGTTTAAAGTGAAATTCATCGGTACGTTTTCACTGCAAACAGACTATATTTTTGAGCAAATTGCTAATCCATGCAGGTTCGTATAAGCGTAAGTTAATGTTCTCCCTAATTATGTGAAGACAGGACACAAACTGCAACGTCCAGGCACAAATAAATCTTCTGCGAGAGGCCATACTTAGAGATTATTTTACTTGGTTCCATTCTTTGATGCCAGATGTAGACCAGTGAATGGGTTCTTGTGGAGAACTGCTTCCAGCAACTTTCTGCTTTGGCAGGGCACACAACTGCGGTGGATCAAATGTACATTTGACACACTATAATATTATGACAATCATTTTCATCCCCGAAACATATTTCATTGATGCTAGTTACATACATATACCAGTGATACTCAAGCAAGTACAATGTTTAAATGTTGCCATGTGTCCTGTAATGATTAGAGATGTGGAGGCCTTGTGGACACATCTAGCGGAGGCCGAGGCCACAGGCAGCCATCAGTCATAACACTTAGCCTTACCACTTAATGTTTTGTGATGTCCTCATGGAATCATTGCAATCATTACAGTAACAGCAAATCTCAAGCTTTCCACGGGTTGCACAGTAAAGAATTGACCCACCATCGCCTCCAAAATACAACCACAAAAAACAAAAACCCATCCAACCAACCAACCAAAAATAGCTAAGAAAAAGCAAAGCAAAGCCAACAATTATGTTTGAACTACTGCTACTGGGCTTGCTAAGAACTCCCCACACCACTTACTGTGTATCCCATAGCTGAAGCGGACTATTTCGTACCGAAGGGTAAGCCACTGGACAGACATGACGTTGGATGCCTCAAGTCATGGTTGGAGTAGGTGATTGGACATACAAGGGGTAGAAGGCCTACAGTAAGTAAATTCCAGTTCAGCAGAGCCAGTCTGTTTGGCCTCTTATTGAGTTCTCTTTGTTATAGTTTGTATCCATGAACAAAATTTAACGTTAAGAGAAATTATCTGTATTCTTGCATGCTGCCACATAAACATGTCTATTGTGCATTCCTATCCCCATCTGTGCATTCCTATCCCCATCTGTGCATTCCTATCCCCATCTGTGCATTCCTCCACATCTCGAACCATCTGATGTCGATTTCCAGAAGATTCAGCCACACACTGTACCATCTGTTATATTTAGGGGTGGGTATTGTAGGGAATTTTCATATTGCGATATATTGCGATGCGAAATCATGTATTGCGGTATGTATTGCAATATATTGCATGATGTATTTTTAAACAAAAAAATACTTATAATCGAGTTAATGCTTGATTTATAGAGGAAAACCACAACAACATCACCATGCTTGATTACGCTTTAATAACAACTTTTGTTTTATCATGATAGAATAAAAATGTGAATCATATTTGGCACAAATGAAAAAAGGAAATATCCGAAGATTTCCGAGTGTTACGAAGTTTTCCGAATGCAACTCAAAATACCGGTTTTCTACCAGCGTATCGCAATACGTATCGTTTCATGTCTGAACCGGTAAATACCGGTAAACCGGTTATATAGCGCAGCCCTAGTTATTTTACATGGAAAACGAATCTCCTGGACTAGACCAGTATTTCGTGTAGTGCATGATTAAGGCGCCTAACACACAGTGGTAGAGGAACATTTAGAACAACTATAGTTCTAAGCCTATAACTCAGGTAGTGATGGTTTGTTGAAAAACACGAATGGCCAACATCGTATATCTCTTACAGGGATCGTTGTCGGGTTACACACGCACGCACGCACGCACGCACGCACGCACGCACGCACGCACACACTATGTAGGTGATATATATATATACTAACCAGATGGAACAATCGGATGCTAAGGTCCCCCATTGCTCACACTGTCTATACCACCAATCACATGTCCTCCTCTTTCTTCTCTTGTCCTCCATTACGTCTTTTTCCTCCACTGTCAACTTAAACTCAAGCCTCCAATATAGACTCCCTTTGTTATCATTTTATTTAGACAAGCAGATAGTGGTAAAGCTGAATTGTAAAACCGTACTTCACAACAATGGCATCATTACAATTTGCTGTTAAAATGTGTCTCCTGTATATAAATAAGCCAGCATCCTCTCCTATCGAAATCCTTGCCCAACAATTACAACGCACTTGCTCATGACACGCTTCCTTCTCGTTCTCCTGCAGTAATAATATTGAAATAGTGTTCAAAGAGGTAAAAAGGAGGAATCATGAAGTGAATGAAACACCTGTAGTCCGTGTATTACCAGATGCGGATGTTGTGTGAAAGCTAGTAATGATTTCTATCATCCTGTGCATCAAGGCAGCCCTTGTGGTCTGCAGCCATGCAAGCTGTAAAACTGGTTCAGGTGGTTTGGCTCGGCTCCCTTGGCACCATCAAGTCCTACCCACATATGTTCAATGCGGTATGTGCCGTGACTTGTAGCTGCCTGGGGACAACTCTGATGGTTTTCTGATGGAATAAGAATATCGGTCCTTTGTGCGAGGGTATCAGGACTGGTCCCAAAGCAAGTTGACCCCGGCGTCTGTCCTATGTAGGTGATGTCGCACAACACTATTCCTAAATCACAACCATGTTGTTGTGTTGTGCTGTGCTATGGTGTTTCAGACCTCGTGGACCTCCAAACCTGACATGGACTAACGTGAAAGAGTTTCGTCCCTTACCGTGCAATCACGCAATACGTGTCGATCCTTCCCCAAGGGGGACTTTGGTTGCAACAGGTCCCCTCCAACCTGTGCTTGTCGTAAGATACAATGAAATGGCTCAGGTAGTCACCCCTCGATGGCCAGCTGTTTGTTAGTGTGTCCTTCCCTGAGGGCAACTGTCCAAACTAATATATGTTATATACAGTCAGCCACCATATAACGAGAATAATGTTTTATTGAATGCGAACACTATACAGTAAACCAAGTGTTGTTTTTCAGGAATATATAGCCATCTTTTTGGTGCGTTTGGTGGTATATATGAGCTTTGCATTACAATCATACGGAATTATTAAAAGTCGAATCTGAATAATAGCCAGTTTTTTTACTGGGACAACTACAAGTGAGTGAGTTGGGTTTTCCGCCAATGTTTCTAGTATTCCAGCCCTGTTTGAGGTTGGAGATTGAAAACAAATTAAGCATGGACGGCAAAGTGTGAGAACTGTGTTCAACAGTATTTGGTCACAGGTGGGTGGAGACTGTTTCCTTGTTGAGGTGTTGTGAACATCTCTGTCGGACTGCGACTATGTAGAAAGCGACGCCACAAGCAGCCATGGCAGCCATAGTACTGAACACTACTCCATCGTATGAGTTGGTGACATCCTTCACTGTCCCTGGTAAATAAAATCATTTGGTAGATATTGAGGCGTTAAAGTATATAGATTCTTCAGGATTGGGGAATTTGAAAATATTGAAATTGTGGTGAGTCACAAAGCTGATGCTTAATGCTGCTTTAGCACATTAATAACCTGTAATTGCTTCAGCATAGGACTGATAAAGCAAAACTGTGTGGTGAAATGTAATAATAAAGACAGCAGAGTTGGCTCATATCAGTCAAACTAGAGAATGTCTATTTCAAGAAGAGGACAAATCTTTACTAAATTACAGTGTTACACTTTCATTTATCAAAGGCTGGCAAAATTCTACATGCATTACCTGCAATAGGGCCACCTAAGAATGCTCCCAAACCGCAAATCGTTTCACAATAGCCCACAGCTGATGCGTAGCGTTTGGGTCCTGCTATTTCGTACATGAGTGTTGGGTAGGCTACTGAACACGACCCAAGGGGGATGCCGTAACACACGACAGCGGTGACTAGGCTTGGGTATGTGTTTGCCAACACTAGGGGCAGCAGACTTCCTGCGAGCACCATGCACATAGTAGCAAACACAGTCACCTGGGACACCTTCACCACAGGTCTCACGAAGAGGTAGAGAAAGCGTCCTCCCAAGTTGGACAGTCCAATAAGGGAAAGAAGATAGGATCCAAGTTTGGCATCAAATCCTTTAGAAATAGTCATGTCCACAAAGAAAAAGTTTATCGATGGCAGAAGACTCATTAGAATAAATAGGCATATTCCTAAAACAATAAACGCAAAGTCTTTAAATAACCCTAAATTCAGGGTTTCCACGAAAGACTCCTTCTTTTGTTTTGTGTCTTTCATTTCAGAAACATTGGTGTCCTGTTTGGATTCTTCAGTATCGGTCATCTGTAAACTAATCGATATTTCACCATTGTGTTCTTCTCTTCTGTTGTTGTCTTTTCCATACTCATCTACAAAAGTCACATTGTCATATGCTACGGAACTGTTCTCCATCTGAGATGGCTCTTGTAAATTAGTGACAACCATGCTATCTTCTCTTATGTCATTGTATACTATGTTGCTTTTTGCCTTGAGTTCCTTGTCCCTCTGGATGTCCTTGCTGAGCACGGTCAGAAGCATTCCAATGGGACACGCTTGGAACATGAGGCCAGCCAGGACGAGGAAGGTGCCCCTCCAGCCGAACACATCGATGAGAGCTGTGTTGAGGAATGGCGAGATGAGGCCTCCAAGTCCGGGACCAATACTGACAACAATGAACACCTGATTCCGTCTTTTGTTGAACATCAGTCCTGTTACTGTGTAGGGGACCACAGTAAACGTGCACAGACCACATCCTGCAAAAGGTCAGAAGGCAAAATGAGTTGGATTTAATGCGGCTTTGAACAGTATTCCGAATTTATCCCAGAGTGTCAGCCCGAAATAAATAATGATGCCGGTCTTTGACGTTTACCGAGTGGCGGATGGATTGAAACAGATGTTATTATATTTACAACAATGCAGCCTGGAAACTGTTTGAAGCTTGTGAAGGAAATCTTAGTCAAGAGTTTTTAATACACAAAACACAAAAACCTGGAATAGCTGACATACTCCAAATCTCACCTGTAACTACTCCTACAGTAAAGATGAGTACCGGCAGGGAAGGGGCGAAGGCGCTTCCCACACACCCAATTCCCGCTAACAGACCACCAACAGTGGTCACATGTCCCTCTCCAACTTTCTTGATGACGATTGTGGCAAACATACCTTCAAAAGTGATTATCATAATTACCTAAGTGGAAGAAAGGATTGAGTGAATCATATTCTATGTTATTTCTGAGTTTTGAAAGTGTGGCTTTCCAGCAATGTGAATTTGTTTCTGAAAATATTTCATAATGTGACTGGTCCACTACTTTTGATTAATTCACAATTTATTATTTATATTATTTTTTTAATTATTATTACAATTCCTTACATTTGAAGATATAACTAGAATCTTTTAATTATCAGTGAAATAAATACAACACCAGTTAAATGACACTCAGGGTATTTGGAAAATGCAATTTACACGTCAGTTAGAGCTAACCATTTCGTTTTTACTTTCTTATGTGGTAAAATATCAACATTGCTTATGGTTTGTGATGTTACAGAAAGTATATACGTTCTTATTAACAAACCAATCCAAAATATTTGGCAAATTATATCCTGAGTATCTGTTAACTACACTGTGAGCCCACCTCTATGACTTTGACATCATAGGTTTTGACGTCATATGTTTCGTATCCAAAGCTACAGTCATTCCTAAGTAAGTAAATCCATTCGTAAAATCATCCCGATATTTGGCAATGTTTTGTGTACCCACTCTATTTGGCTTTTACGATTTTTTTACAGCATTACCATAATGTCTTTACCGTGGTCCTAAAATGTCTTTACAACAGTGCCAAAATACCTTTACAGCAGTGCCAAAATGTCCTTACAACATTACCAACATGTCTTTACATCAGTGAGTGAGTGAGTTTAGTTTTACGCTGCACTCAGTAATATTCCAGCTTTATGGCGGAGGTCTGTAGATAATCGAGTCTGCATCAGACAATCCAGTGATCAACATCAATCTGCGCAATTGGGAACCGATGGCATGTGTCAACCAAGTCAGCGAGCCTAACCACCCGATCCCGTTAGTCGCCTCTTACGGCAAGCATGGGCTACTGAAGACCAATACCATCACGGGTATGGTAAGAATTAGGTGGTCTTTGGTAATATTTAGCATCATTGGAATGACAACATCCTTTGAATGATTTCCCACCTGTTCCAAACACAAGTCCTGTGCACACAGACTGGAGGAGGGACGCCATGGCTCTTGAGGACTGGAAGGTGTCGAGGATCTCCACAAACAGGACACCCAGACCCACCAGGAACGACATGACTATGAACATCAGGGAGACCAGACATGCCGCCACCACACACTTCTTTATATTGACAGTCGTCAGACTTCCTTTCCTGAATCTGTAACAGAAATATCCTCAGCTAAACTATTTACATCATATAGTGTGTCCGAGGGTTTATAATCCGGGTAAGAATTGATCTTCAGTAACCCATGTTTGACGTAAGAGGATCGTGTGGTCAGGCCCGCTCATTTGGTTTGACACATATCATCGTATTCGACTTGCGTAGATCAATGCTTATGCAGTTGATCAGTAGATTGTCTGGTCCAGACTCGATTATTTACAGACCGCCGCCATAAAGCTGGAATGTTGCTGAGAGCTATACTCACCAACCCATCGTCGGTTCATGACGTGAAACACGCAAATCAAACGTTGGTAATAACAGCTTTACCCTGCCCTATCCGGACAGCCTCCGTGGTTTATTGGATACAGTGTTTGTCGGAGAGCGAAAAGGGGTTGGTTTGAAGCCCGGCCGCGTAGTATAAAAACACGTATACTTGTTGTTGCTTTGCCTGGTATTCAAGGAGCTCAGAGTCAGTGAGCGAAAAGGGGGTGGCTTGAAGTCACGCAGTATAGTATAAAAAGCAGTTAAACTCTGATATTTGTTGTTGCCTTTCCTGGTGTTCAAGGAGCACTCTGCTCACAGTCAGCGTTATTGTCCAAGTAGAATATCCATGTAAAACTGCGGCATGGTATCTCAGTATGATGTCCATTTCAAACAGGGGCATTACAGGTTCCAGCAGCCACACATGCCCGGCCGTGTAGATGAATGTGTATGTGCAATAAACTAAATTTGACGTCTAACAAGATTACACCTTACCCACCTAGGCCAGTTAATCCCAAATAGCAATACGATGCTGTTTTATCAGTATGTATAACATAGGTACTTAATGACATAAATTCAACATGTAATACTTGAAAAGGGTTTAAGAACATTTAATTTTCCACATTTGGTACTACCCAATATTGATGTGAATGCTATACCTAAGAATTTGACTCTTACCTTTCCCGACACCTTGTTGTCATTTCTTCTGGAGGTTTCGGTGTATAATCTGTTCCCGGTCCCAAAGTGGTGACATTTACCCTGCTGCTGTTTTGTGGACGTCCGCTGGAATCGTCTCGAGGTGACATTCTCGATGGCAATTACACTCTTCAACACTTCTGTTATATACCTTCCACACACAGAATTGCACAAGCAAAGGTAATGGTGACTCATTGCTCATTACAGAGAAGAAATCCATGGTTTTATTCCAGTCATGTGTGCACGTGTGCGACAATACCACCATCCGCGTTGAGCGGAACAAGTGTGTGCTAATATTTGGGTCAGAACCTGAATCAATAGTTCATCTGTTCTGGAATTGTAGAGCAAGTAAGACTTTTTGGCAAAAATTCTCATATTGGGTGGAGTTGAACTGTGTACACACAGGTATTCTATATATTCAACGTGATTTGATCCTTTTAGGGTGTTCACCCACATATCTAGTCTGTCTCACAGTCCCTGAACCATATTATTTTCCCCAATGCTTAGCCCTCCCTGCAATGCTAAAGCCCTTAATGAAGCAAGTCTAGATTTCCTCAGGTTCTCACTTGGACACCTTTTCAATGTAAATGGGTTTATTTGCTACTATCACAATTATATGTATTCAGGGACTAAACGTTAGTCTACCACATATCATACAAACGGTAGTTTGGACTTGATACTACTACTAGCCAACATATATATATATATATTATGTAAGCTGCAAACGATAGTTCCTATGTTGTCGCACTTCAAGAAGGAATTAAAGAATCTTATCTTATAGATAAGTCAGATACTGAAATATATCTAGGTTTAATGAATTCGAAAGCATATGGGCAATGCAGGTAAAACTTGTAAATGATGAGTTAATGTTATGGTAGAGAATGCAAGGGTATGAATGAGAGAGCGAATGATATGTCTTTTCCTAATTATTTTTATTTTATAATACTTTTGTATTATTACTTTTTTCATCTTTCGTTTACTTTGCTTTTTTAATGCGTTTATATTATTACTATTTGTTTTTTTTTATTCATTTATCTGTTTAATTATTTATTTATTTCCCACACACAAAATGTTTTTCAATGCTTTATCAATGCAATTTGAAAAGTACACATATAATGCAATAGATGCGCAGATTAGGAGTATGTATTGAGGTGCATCTGCTAAACAGTTGACATCACAACACCTGCGTATATTATTGAAATAATGTGTTAATTACCAGAACAGATTTACACACATGTGTACACTGGAAACATTCACATCTAAATACCAACATAACGTCACAGTTTATTTGGCGAATAAAGATGTTTCTTTTTAAAAATATATAAAACCACAATGTCATGAGATGCTACAGTAGTATGTGTAAACGATGTCATAAAATACTGCAGTAATATGTTTGAAAGATTTCACAGTAACGGTAATATGTGTATAAAATAATGCAGTAATATGTTACAACAATGTCATGAGATACTACAGATTTCAGTAATGTCATGAGATTCTATGGGAATGTTTCGATGATGTCATATCAGGTAATGCAGAGATCTGTTTTAAGAATATGATGTATGGTTTTACAATAGTGTCACATTGGTGGCGTGATATACATCAGTCAAACATTATGTCATGGGATACTACAGAAACATCAGGCAGACATTATGTCATGGGATACTACAGAAACATATGACTGATGTCATGAAGGGTTAACATTACTTCAGACATGTGATGTTTTACAGAAATGCATTTCACTAATTCTGCAGAAATGTATGCGGATGTCATGTTTGAGTTTCATGTGAGTTAATATTTTGATGTTAAATATGTTACTGTATCATTTCTGTAATAAATACCGATACTCTCAAAAATAAATAAATAAATAAAATAAAATAAAGAAAGGAAAAGATGTGTGCTACTATAATGAATTGTCTTTATTTCCTCCAATAATGCCGGAGAGTACAATGAATTATTACATGAATACAAAATACATGACTATGTACCAATCATATTAGAATGGGAAAGAAAGTTAAGCATATGTATGTATAATACACTGGGGGTGATTGGATGAAATATGAATCATAGGTATATCCAGCTCTGTAGGTTCCACGAACTAATGCTCCTGGCAACAGTGTCAATGAATTGGGCCCACATGTATGTTGTCCACGATGGGGCTCATGCCACCAGATGTCATCAGAACTACTCTCCAGATTAATGTATGTCTCTAGTGGTAGAATATCGAACAATCGTTCATACATGGTATTTCTGTGTCTAAACAGTTCATTGCATTGCAATAACTGGTGCTGCACAATATCATCGTCTCCGCATCACATATAAGACAGAGTCCTCCAGTTCTTCTTGGTCTGATAGTCTGATAGAGAGCCAATGTATCCACAAGTAGGTATCTACAGACCTCACACTGATTACATGAGACAGTTCTTCTTTTTCTGATAGTCTTTCTTGTAGTTGCATGCTGGAAATAAACCGAGTGACTACTGAAGCATGGTTGTGTGTTCGATCACATGTAGTTCAATCTGTTAAAATTTAGTTAAATCTAAAGACAAATGCTACATTTGGCGACCAGACATCTTCGGACCAAATGTCATGGCTGTTGTTGTTTTGATCGGGGATGTTGGCCATTTACCTCAGATGCGAGTGCATTAGCGCCTCGTCAGAAACGATGGTTGCATGCCTTCAAACTTTTCGCGACTGGAAAAGGGCTCGAGAAACTAGAACAGATGGAAGCATTGTTGTTGCACAAAGCAGGTATGCGCGTGTAGGACATGTATTTCACATTACCAGACGTGACCAGACAAGATGATTGCTTCAAGAAGTGTGTTACAGGGTTAAATCAGTATTTCACTCTTCAATCGAATATTCCTTATGAGAGACATGTGTTTCGTAATATGAGATCGTCACACGGTTGCATCAACAAAGTGGATCTAGTGATTTTGGAGATTGAAATTCATAGGATGTGCAAATCAGGGATCAAGTTATTGAGAAGTGTCAATCGAGTTAATGCTTGATTTATAGAGCAAAACCACAACAAAATCACCATGCTTGATTATGCTTGAATAACAACTTTTATTTTATCATGATAAAATAAAAATGTGAATAAAAAATATTTGGCACAAATGAAAAAAGGAAATATCCGAAGATTTCCGAGTGTTGCGAAGTTTTCCGAATGCAGCTCAAAATACCGGTTTTCGATCAGCGTATCGCAATACGTATCGTTTTCATGTCTGAACCGGTAAATACCGGTAAACCGGTTATGTTGCGCAGCCCTAGTTACTTTACATGGACTAGACCAGTATTTCATGTAGTGCATGATTAAGGCGCCTAACACACAGTGGTAGAGGAACATTTAGAACAACTATAGTTCTAAGCCTATAACTCAGGTAGTGATGGTTTGTTGAAAAACACGAATGACCAACATCGTATATCTCTTACAGGGATCGTTGTCAGGTTACACACACACACACACACACGCACGCACGCACGCACGCACGCACGCACGCACGCACACATATATATATATATATATATATATATATAAGAAGAAGTTTCTGAAATAATCACACTACACGGATCTTCTCCACAGAAGAAGATCCGTGTGGTGTGATTATTTCAGAAACTTTTTCTTATCTATGTACTACTGTACGCTCGGTATTCTCATCACTTTCTACATATATAATACCCAGATGGAACAATGCTAAGGCCCCCCATTGCTCACACTGTCTATACTACCAATCATATGTCCACCTGTCCTCCATTACGTCTTCTTCCGCCACTGTCAACTTAAACTCAAGCCTCCAATATAGACTCCCTTTGTTATCATTTTATTTAGGCAAGCAGATAGTGGTAAAGCTGAATTGTAAAACCGTACTTCACAACAATGGCATCATTACAATTTGCTGTTAAAATGTGTCTCCTGTATATAAATAAGCCAGCATCCTCTCCTATCGAAATCCTTGCCCAACAATTACAACGCACTTGCTCATGACACGCTTCCTCCTCGTTCTCCTGCAGTAATAATATTGAAATAGTGTTCAAAGAGGTAAAAAGGAGGAATCATGAAGTGAATGAAACACCAGTAGGCCGTGTATTACCAGATACGGATGTTGTGTGAAAGCTAGTAATGATTTCTATCATCATGTCTGTGCCTCAAGGCAGCCCTTGTGGTCTGCAGCCATGCAAGCTGTAAAACTGGTTCAGGTGGTTTGGCTCGGCTCCCTTGGCACCACCAAGTCCTACCCACATATGTTCAATGCGGTATGTGCCGTTACTTGTAGCTGCCTGGGAACAACTCTGATGGTTTTCTGATGGAATAAGAATATCGGTCCTTTGTGCGAAGGGTATCAGGATTGGTCCCAAAGCAAATTGACCCCGGCGTCTGTCCTATGTAGGTGATGTCACACAACACTATTCCTAAATCACAACCACGTTGTTGTGCTGTGCTATGGTGTTTCAGACCTCGTGGAACTCCCAACTGACATGGACTAACGTGAAAGAGTTTCGTCCCTTACCGTGCAATCACTCAATACGTGTCGATCCTTCCCCAAGGGGGGCTTTGGTTGCAACAGGTCCCCTCCAACCTGTGCTTGTCGTAAGATACAATGAAATGGCTCAGGTAGTCACCCCTCGATGGCCAGCTGTTTGTTAGTGTTTCCTTCCCTGAGGGCAACTGTCCAAACTAATTTATGTTATATACAGTCAGCCACCATATAACGAGAATAATGTTTTATTGAATGCGAACACTATACAGTGAACCAAGTGTTGTTTTTCAGGAATATATAGCCATCTTTTTGGTGCGTTTGGTGGTATATATGAGCATTTGCATTAAAATCATACGGAATTATTAAATGTTGAATCTGAATAATAGCCAGTTTTTTTACTGGGACAACTACAAGTGAGTGAGTTGGGTTTTCCGCCAATGTTTCTAGTATTCCAGCCCTGTTTGAGGTTGGAGATTGAAACAAATTAAGCATGGACGGCAAAGTGTGAGAACTGTGTTCAACAGTATTTGATCACAGGTGGGTGGAGACAGTCAACTGTCAAAACTAATATATGTTATATACAGTCAGCCACCATATAACGAATGCGAACACTATACAGTGAACCAAGTGTTGTTTTTCAGGAATATATAGCCATCTTTTTGGTGCGTTTGGTGGTACATATGAGCTATTGCATTACAATCATACGGAATTATTAAAAGTCGAATCTGAATAATAGCCAGTTTTTTAACTGGGACAACTACAAGTGAGTGAGTTGGGTTTTCCGCCAATGTTTCTAGTATTCCAGCCCTGTTTGAGGCTGGAGATTGAAAATAAATTAAGCATGGACGGCAAAGTGTGAGAACTGTGTTCAACAGTATTTGGTCACAGGTGGGTGGAGACAGTTTCCTTGTTGAGGTGTTGTGAACATCTCTGTCGGACTGCGACTGTGTAGAAAGCGACGCCACAAGCAGCCATGGCAGCCATAGTACTGAACACTACTCCATCGTATGAGTTGGTGATATCCTTCACTGTCCCTGGTAAATAAAATCATTTTGTAGATATTGAGGCGTTAAAGTATATAGATTCTTCAGGATTGGGGAATTTGAAAATATTGAATGTATGGTGAGTTACAAAGCTGATGCTTAATGCTGCTTTAGCACATTAATAACCTGTAATTGCTTCAGCATAGGACTGATAAAGCAAAACTGTGTGGTGAAATGTAATAATATAGACAGCAGAGTTGGCTCATATCAGTCAAACTAGAGAATGTCTATTTCAAGAAGAGGACAAATCTTTACTAAATTACAGTGTTACACTTTCATTTATCAAAGGCTGGCAAAATCCTACATGCATTACCTGCAATAGGGCCTCCTAAGAATGCTCCCAAACCGCAAATCGTTTCACAATAGCCCACAGCTGATGCGTAGCGTTTGGGTCCTGCTATTTCGTACATGAGTGTTGGGTAGGCTACTGAACACGACCCAAAGGGGATGCCGTAACACACGACAGCGGCGACTAGGCTTGGGTATGTGTTTGCCAACACTAGGGGCAACAGACTTCCTGCGAGCACCATGCACATAGTAGCAAACACAGTCACCTGGGACACCTTCACCACAGGTCTCACGAAGAGGTAGAGAAAGCGTCCTCCCAAGCTGGACAGTCCAATAAGGGAAAGAAGATAGGATCCAGTTTGGGCATCAAATCCTTTAGAAATAGTCATGTCCACAAAGAAAAAGTTTATCGATGGCAGAAGACTCATTAGAATAAATAGGCATATTCCTAAAACAATAAACGCAAAGTCTTTAAATAACCCTAAATTCAGGGTTTCCACGAAAGACTCCTTCTTTTGTTTTGTGTCTTTCATTTCAGAAACATTGGTGTCCTGTTTGGATTCTTCAGTATCGGTCATCTGTAAACTAATCGATATTTCACCATTGTGTTCTTCTCTTCTGTTGTTGTCTTTTCCATACTCATCTACAAAAGTCACATTGTCATATGCCACGGAACTGTTCTCCATCTGAGATGGCTCTTGTAAATTAGTGACAACCATGCTATCTTCTCTTATGTCATTGTATACTATGTTGCTTTTTGCCTTGAGTTCCTTGTCCCTCTGGATGTCCTTGCAGAGCACGGTCAGAAGCATTCCAATGGGACACGCTTGGAACATGAGGCCGGCCAGGACGAGGAAGGCGCCCCTCCAGCCGAACACATCGATGAGAGCTGTGTTGAGGAATGGCGAGATGAGGCCTCCAAGTCCGGGACCAATACTGACAATAATGAACACCTGATTCCGTCTTTTGTTGAACATCAGTCCTGTTACTGTGAAGGGGACCACAGTAAACGTGCACAGACCACATCCTGCAAAAGGTCAGAAGGCAAAATGAGTTGGATTTAATGCGGCAGTATTCCGAATTTATCCCAGAGTGTCAGCCCGAAATAAATAATGATGCCGGTCTTTGACGTTTACCGAGTGGCGGATGGATTAAAACAGATGTTATTATATTTACAAAAATGCGACCTGGAAACTGTTTGAAGCTTGTGAAGGAAATCTTAGTCAAGACTTTTTAATACACAAAACACAAAAACCTGGAATAGCTGACATACTCTAAATCTCACCTGTAACTACTCCGACAGTAAAAATGAGTACCGGCAGGGAGGGGGCGAAGGCGCTTCCCACACACCCAATTCCCGCTAACAGACCACCAACAGTGGTCACATGTCCCTCTCCAACTTTCTTGATGACGATTGTGGCAAACATACCTGTAACAGTGATTATCATAATTACCTAAGTGGAAGAAGGATTGAGTGAATCATATTTTATGTTATTTCTGATTTTTGAAAGTGTGGCTTTCCAGCAATGTGAAATTGTTTCTGAACATATTTCATAATGTGACTGGTCCACTACTTTTGATTACTTCACAATTTATTATTTATATTATTTTTTTTATTATTATTCCAGACAGACAGACAGACAGACAGATTTATTTCGTAGAGTGGCCATGAGGCCAATAGTACAGTGACATTTTGACATCATGTTATTATTATTCCATATCTTTACATTTGAAGATATAACTAGAATCGTTTAATTATCAGTGAGTAAATACATCACCAGTTGAATGACACTCAGGGTAATTGGAAAATTTTCACGTCAGTTAGAGCTAACCATTTCGTTTTTACTTTCTTATTTGGTAAAATATCAACATTGCTTATGGTTTGTGATGTTACAGAAAGTATATACGTTCTTATTAACAAACCAATCCAAAATATTTGGCAAATTATATCCTGAGTTACTGTTAACTACACTGTGAGCCTACCTCTATGACTTTGACATCATAGGTTTTGACGTCATATGTTTCGTATCCAATGCTACAGTCATTCCTAAGCAAGTAAATCCATTTGTAAAATCATCCCGATATTTGGCAATATTTTGTTTACCCACTCTATTTGGCTTTTACGATATTTTTACAGCATTACCATAATGTCTTTACCGTGGTCCCAAAATGTCTTTACAACAGTGCCAAAGTGTCCTTACAACATTACCAACATGTCTTTACATCAGTGAGTGAGTGAGTTTAGTTTTACGCCGCACTCAGTAATATTCCAGCTATATGGCGGAGGTCTGTAGATAACAGACAGAGTCAGACAGAGACAGAGTTTATTTGCAGTAAAAGGCCATAGGCCCAAAATAGATTCAAAGGAAATTTCAGTGTAGTCAGGGGCACGATGTGCTTTCATGTGTGTTTATAATAATCCTTTTAACATAAAATAGATACAAGGCAACAGATTTTACTGTGTCTACATTAGTATTCTTGAAAAGATATGCTAAGGAATATACAGTATAAGGCTTTTTAACACATTTTGTAATAAAACCTCTCTCTTAGGTGTGAATAGGATTCACAAATGAACAGTACATGGAATTCATCTTCAATATAAGTAAGACCTTTAGATTTGCATGATATACAAAATCTTTGATTATAATCAGTGTTGTTATAACGCCCAGTTTCTACAGCTATTTTAAAATTACTACACCTAAATTGTGCTAAAACAGCTCTTAAATGTGTAGAAAGGTTAAACGATAAATAACATTCAACATTTAACACTGATTTAAAATACTGATAATAGTTGCATTTGGAAGAATTACTCAGGGAAGAGTACCAGGACTGTTTTAAATTATCTGATAATCTTTGTTTAAATAAGCTTATAAACATCTTTACATCACCAACATCTTGGCTGTAGATAATCGAGTCTGGATCAGACAATCCAGTTATCAACAGCATGAGCATCAATCTGCGCAATTGGGAACCGATGGCATGTGTCAACCAAGCCAGCGAGCCTAACCACCCGATCCCGTTAGTCGCTTCTTACGACAAGCATGGGTTACTGAATGCCAATACCATCACGGGTATGGTAAGAATTAGGTGGTCTTTGGTAACATTTAACATCATTGGAATGACAACATCCTTCGAATGATTACCCACCTGTTCCAAACACAAGTCCTGTGCACACAGACTGGAGGAGGGACGCCATGGCTCTTGAGGACTGGAAGGTGTCGAGGATCTCCACAAACAGGACACCCAGACCCACCAGGAACGACATGACTATGAACATCAGGGAGACCAGACATGCTGCCACTACACACTTCTTTATATTGACAGTCGTCAGACTTCCTTTCCTGAATCTGTAACAGAAATATCCTCAGCTAAACTATTTACATCATATAGTGTGTCCGAGGGTTTATAATCCGGGTAAGAATTGATCTTCAGTAACCCATGTTTGACGTCAGGCCCGCTTATTTGGTTGACACATATCATCGTATTCGACTTGCGTAGATCAATGCTTATGCAGTTGATCAGTAGATTGTCTGGTCCAGACTCGATTGTTTACAGACCGCCGCCATATAGCTATACTCACCCACCCACCCACCGTGAAACACGCAAATCATGCGTTGGTAATAACAGCTTTATCCTGCACTATCCGGACAGCCTCCGTGGTTTACTGGATACAGTGTTTGTCGGAGAGCGAAAAGTGGGCGGTTTGAAGCCCGGCCGTTGCCTTGCCTGGTATTCAAGGTGCTCAGAGTCAGTGAGCGAAAAGGGGTGTCTTGAAGTCACGCAGTAAAGTGTAAAAAGCAGTAAACTCTGATATTTGTTGTTGCCTTTCCTGGTGTTCAAGGAGCACCTCTGCTCACAGTCAGCGTTATTGTCAGTGTAGAATATCCATGTAAAACTGCGGCATGGTATCTCAACATGATGTTCATTTCAAACAGGGGCATTACAGGTTCCAGCAGCCACACAAGCCCGATCGTGTAGATGAATATGTATGTGCAATAAACTAAATTTGACGTCTAACAAGATTACACCTTACCCACCTAGGCCAGTTAACAAATAGCAATACGATGCTGTTTTATCAGTATGTGAGGTGGGGTGAGGTGAAATTGGGTTTAACGTCGTGCTTGAGAATATTTCGCTCATATGACGACGTGCATGCGTGTGTATGTGTATGTACGGCTGCCTGTACTAGCCCAGGCTTAAGCTGGTTTTATAATGCTAGCCCACTGTGATATCATGCCGCAGTGAAGCATGAATATCCCACTCAGACACATTATACTGACTCCGAGCCGACCAGTCCTTGTTGTACCCATTAATGCCGAGCGCCAGGCAGGGACCAACAAGTACCATATTTTAACGCCTTTTGGTATGACGCGGTCGGGGATCGAACCCGCGGACGCTCTAACCACTACACCACGGAGGCGGTCTTTATCAGTATGTGTAGCATAGGTACTTAATGATATAAATTCAACATGTAATACTTGAAAAGGGTTTAAGAACATTTAAGTTTCCACATTGGGTACTACCCAATATTGATGTGAATGCTATACCTAAGAACTTGACTCTTACCTTTCCCTACACCTTGTTGTCATTTCCTCTGGAGGTTTCGGTGTATAATCTGTTCCCGGTCCCAAAGTGGTGACATTTACGCTGCTGCTGTTTTGTGGACGTCCGCCGGAATCGTTTCTAGGTGACATTCTCGATGACAACTACACTCTCCAACACGTCTGTTCTATACCTTCCACACACAGAATTGCACAAGCAAAGGTAATGGTGACTCATTGCTCATTACAGAGAAGACATCCATGGTTTTATTCTAGTCATGTGTGCACGTGATCGACAATACCACCATCCGCGTTGAGCGGAACAAGTGTGTGCTAATATTTGGGTCAGAACCTGAATCAATAGTTCATCTGTTCTGGAATTGTAGAGCAAGTAAGACTTTTTGGCAAAAATTCTCACATTGGGTGGAGTTGAACTGTGTACACACAGGTATTCTATATATTCAACGTGATTTGATCCTTTTTGGGTGTTCACCCACATATCATACAGACGGTAGTTGGGGACTTGATTACTACTACTATCCAAACATTATATTTATATATATTATGTAAGCTGCAAACGATAGTTCCTATGTTGTCGCACTTCAAGAAGGAATTAAAGAATCTTATCTTATAGATAAGTCAGATACTGAAATAAATCTAGGTTTAATGAATTCGAAAGCATATGGGCAATGCAGGTAAAACTTGTAAATGATGAGTTAATGTTATGGTAGAGAATGCAAGGGTATGAATGAGAGAGCGAATGATATGTCTTTTCCTAATTATTTTTATTTTATAATACTTTTGTATTATTACTTTTTTCATCTTTCTTTTACTTTGCTTTTTTAATGCGTTAACATTATTACTATTTGTTTTTATTTTATTCATTTATCTGTTTAATTATTTATTTATTTCCCACACACAAAATGTTTATCAATGCAATTTGAAAAGTACACATATAATGCAATAGATGCGCAGATTAGGAGTATGTATTAATTTTTTAGGTGCATCTGCTAAACAGTTGACCATCACAACACCAGCGTATATTATTGAAATAATGTGTTAATTACCAGAACAGATTTACACACATGTGTACACTGGAAACATCTAAATAC